GGTAATTTACTGTGTGTGTTCTTGAAGATTGAAGAAAATTTATCCATGAAACATCTTATTAAAAGTGAATGAGACATTCTCTTTTCCTTTTGGACAGGTAGAGCACAGGCATATAGGCATGGCTATGCTGGGCCATTTCTAGCATCTTCCTTGGAGTTGCTTCTTTTAATGTAGTGTCAGGTTTAAATCCTATAAATCAGGCTTAAATTTTGACTACTGTTTTGTAGAAGTAATCCTGATGTTCACAAATATAGTGTGGAAACTGTACAGTGGTATCCTCATGACACTGGCATGTTCACATCAAGCTCGTTTGATAAAACTCTGAAAATATGGGATACAAATACATTACAGGTAGGTACATCAAAATTTTTGCAGTCTGCTTTGTAGGATAGAGAAGAATTTAACTGTAAGCCATGTTAGTGCGATTTTTTTTTTAAACTGAGTTCTAGATGTAGCAGTAGTGTATAGTTAAGACGAGCTGGGCTGTGTGAGTTCACACCCTGGCTCTGATGCTGACTGGCTGAATGATGATGGGCAGGATTCCAAACCTCTGTACTGCTTTCTTCACTGGTAAATGAGAGGACAGGGAGGTAAAATGGCATTTTGTAGAATGGTTATGAAGTCTGAATGAATTAAGATATGCAAAGTACCAAGAACAATGTCCAGCCTGTAAAAGACATTCTTGACATTATTATGTTAAAACTACTATGGCCCAATAGTCTGTGAGGAAATTGGATTTAGCACCTACCAACTGTAATTTAGTTTTTAATATAATAGAGATATGCAGGCCAGTTTTGCAGATGCTGGTGAACATTGTAGATCTAATAAAACATAAGGGTGTAAAGTTTAAGCTCTTGTCTGCTAACTAAAAGATTGGAGGTTTGAATCTACCCAGTGGCTCCACAGGAAAAAAAAAATATCAATCTGCTTCTGTATATATTCCTTGTCTCTCATTGCCATCTAGTCAGAACAAACTCATAGTTGACCCTCCTTTGGGTTTCTGATGCTGTAATTCTCATGAGAGGTGTATTCATGATCCATTCTGCTAAGATTAGTATCAGATCAGTTATAAGAAAGTGCTGAGTCAACATTGTCACAAATGTTCAATTTGATTTTCCAATATCAACAGCCCTTCCTTTGTTCATTTCCTTTACTCCTCTATGTCCCTTGAGTTCTGTGGTTCGCTGGAAGGTCTCTCAGAAACTCAGACCATCTAGGGAATGGCTCACATGACTGTAGTAGGTATGCAGGTCAGGTTTGGAGAGACTGGTGAACATTGTAGTCTTGCCAGTTGCAGGGTACCTGGAAAGTGGGCAT